AAGGATTAGAGAGATAACAGCCAAATTTCCCAAATAGACTAGTTTCAACTGGCATGATAATGAGGCTCTTATGCTTCAATCTTTATAGAAGAAAGATTATCAAGTGAAGTTAGTCCATCAGTTATTTTGCTATTATTCTGTCTCCCTCTCCTGTCCCTGCATCAACAACAAGGGCTGGGCCAGCCTGAAGCCAGGGGCCTGGAACTCCATCCGGGTCTCCTACATGGGTAGCGAGGGCCCAGGAACTCAGGTCATCTTCCAGTGCTTTCCCAGGAGCATGCACATGGAAGCAGAGCAGCCAGGACTTGAACCGGCAATCCAATATGGGAGACACTGGCATTGCAAGAGGCAGTTTAATTCACTTGGTGGCTAATTCCTTCACATGAGATAAGCAATGGTAAGATATCAAATTTTCTGATGAACTACAAATAAACTAAAAGAAGCAAAGTCTATTAGGAAAGGACAAAATCGAGGATTTTGCATATGAAATGAAAAACATTTTTCTAATATATATGGAGCTATCTGCAGGGTAAAAATTGTAGGATAGCCTACAGAAAACTGGGAACAGACAGATGATGGAGGCAATGGTGCTATAGTATTACACATGCCGACTGTAAAAAGGACTGAGGCTTCTACTATCTAGTTTATTTTGCAATTTATCCATTGCTTTTGCTATGCAAAGCACTGAATAAAGGTAAAGGTAAAGTTCCCATATTAAGCATGGTCTTTTTTTTTTTTTTAAGGTTTTATTATTTATTTGAAAGAGTTTCAGAGAGGTAGAGACAGAGAGAGAGGTCTTCCATCCATTGATTTACTCCCCAGATGGCCGCAATGGCTGCAGCTGTGCCGATCCGAAGCCAGGAGCCTCCTCTGGGTCTCCCACATGGGTGCAGGGGCCCAAGGACTTGGGCCATCTTCTACTGCTTTCCCAGGCCACAGCAGAGAGCTGGATTGGAAAAGGAGCAGCCAGGACTAGAACTGGTGCCCAAATGGGATGCCAGAGCTTCAGGCCAGGGCTTTAATCTGCTGCGCTACAGCACTAGCCCCTAAGCATGGTCTTAACCAGCATGATCTAGTTGGTGAAACATGGAAATATTCAACTGAAGCAGACGTTCAATTAAATAAATGACAATGGATCAGAGACAAAAGATTCCTTGAAAACGGGATAGAGCAATGGATTCAAAAACAAAGGGAAGGGGCCAGCACTGTGGTGCAGCAGGTTAAAGTAACAGCTTGAAGTGCCGGCATCCCATATGGGTGCTGGTTCTAGTCCTGGCTGCTCCTCTTCTGAACCAGCTCTCTGCTATAGCCTGGGAAAGCAGCGGAAGATGGCCCAAGTCCTTGGGCCCCTGCAACCCACATGGGAGAAGCTCCTGGCTCCTGACTTCGGATCAGCTCAGTTCCGGCTCTTGTGGCCATTTGGGGAGTAAGCATGGGCATAGAAGACTTCTCTCGCTAACTCTGTATTCAAATAAATAAAAATAAATTAAGAAGTGTTTTATATAGGTGGGGCAAGGAAAGGCATTTCAGGTTGACAGCCTAGGATGATCAGCGGTCCGAAAGAAGGAAATGTAATAGAACCTTCAAGAGATCTGGATGGATCATGAGGCTCTAAAACCACGGCACAGGAAGGGGTTACAGTGGGAGACTATCATTGTGGACTTCATTCCAAGGATATCACTGAAGGTTTCCCAATAATACTATAATCTTGGTAAGAATCTAGACTTACACATCTGGGAGGCTACTTGGTTTTATCAAAATCTGGATGTCCAAAACCAATCACCACAATCTGCCTCAAAACTTGGTCTTCTTACACTGTTCTGTATCTCAAAAAAGCACTGCTAACCATCAAATTACACAAGCAAAAAGCAAACCAAAACAAAGCCCGGAAGCCATTCTTGATGTCTTCTGCCTGGTATCTGTATCTAATCCAACACTAAATTTTATTAATTTTACTTTCCAAATTTCCGTCCTAATACATAATAGTCTCCATCTATTTCCACCACTTTAGGACAAACTCTGATCATTTCTCTCTTGGACCACTTGTCGGGACTATATTCATTCAGGTTCTCATTTAAGCTGAATTAAAAAAAAAAAAAAAAACAGTCCTAAATGACTAAATGCTTAAATTCTTTTAGTTTCCTATAACTTTGAAAATAAAGAATAAAATTCAGACACAGGGGTAGGTGTTTGGCTTAGTATGGTAGTTAAGACACCTGTATCCTACATTGGAGTACATGGGTTCAACATCCAGCTCTGGCTGGTTCCCATCAACCATGTGGTAAACAGGAATTAAGTTCCTGGTTCCCAGCCATGGCCTGGGCCCAGCACTGGCCACTGTGGGCATTTGGGGAATGAACCAGCAAGTGGAAGCTCTCTGCTTCTCAAATGAGTGAAAATGAAAAAGAACTTCAACACAGTCTACGAAGTCCTGCATGGCTTGGCCCTGGCTCTGCCTCTCGAGAGCTTCACTTCAGAGTATGCTTTCTCTTACTTCTCTCTCTCTACTCTGGCCTTTCCAGACTACAGTGCTCATCCTACTTCTGCTTATCCTTTTTTTTTTTTTTTTTAAAGATTTATTTATTTATTTGAAAGGCAGATTTACAAAGAGAGAGGAGAGGCAGAGAGAGAGGCCTTCTATCCGCCACTTCACTCCCCATTTGGCTGCAACGGTCAGAGCTTCACCCATCCGAAGCCAGGAGCCAGGAGTTTCTTTAGTGTCTCCCACATGGGTGTATGGGCCCAAGCACTTGGGCCATCTTCTACTGTTTTCCCAGGCCATAGCAGAGAGCTGGATCGGAAGAGAAGCAGTTGGCACTCGAACTGGTGCCCATATGGGATGCCGGCACTACAGGCAGCGGCTTTACTCACTATGCCACAGCGCCAGCCCCTGCTTACTTATTCATTGTCCATCTCTCAGCCAGCCATTTAGCTAGGTGCTGGGTACATAATGATGAACAAAACAAAGAATCTTGCCTTCATAAAGGTTATAGCTGAGTGGGGGAAAGTAGTAGAGACAAAACAAATGAGTAATCAAATATAAATTACAAAAAGTGCTATTCAAAAAAAGAAGAGAGTGCTGGGACAAAGGGAATAATACAAAGGATGGAAACCTGTTTTAGACTAGGAGATCACAAAAAGTTTCTTTTGAGAGGGGCATTTGAGTCTATGGCCATACCACCCTGAACACGCCGGATCTCTTCTGATCTCGGAAGCTAAGCAGGGTCAGGCCTGGTTAGTACTTGGATGGGAAAGAGGTGCTTTTGAAGTGAGCCCTCAAAGGAGAAAATAAAGTCATTAGTGTAACCAGGCCATACATGAAGAAAAGCATGATTCCTGTAGGTTTCACAGCAAGAGAATACAGAATTTGGACTATTATAATGATGACAAATATAGAGTTAAGGAATTCAGCAATTCAAAAAGAGAAAAAGTTTTTTTTTTTACAAGTATTTACAAGATTTTTTTTACAAGTATTCACTACTTCTTGGAATTTATTTGATGAAGTTAAGACTGTGTTACCAAAAAGGCATAGGAAAAGGTGGTCAGAAAGCAGGCAGGGGCGCCTGGCAGGTATCCTACATGAGTATTCTGATGAGTGTATTTACAAGGCTTACATAACCAGTGAGTCAGCAGAAAGTCAGGTGTCAATGGATCTCTTGTGCCCACTCTAAGCAGCCAGGAAACCCTCGCTGCTGGTGAGAAGAGAGGCCGAAGAACAAGATCTGAGGTTGGCTAATAAAACACAGTCACACACCTTCCAGTAACATTTGCCCAAAGATGTACGATAGGAAAAAGTAAAGCTTTGAGATCAGAAAAACCTAAGAAACAGGATCCAACTTAAAGACAGAGCCTGGTTCATAGGTATAATACAAACCATTTTTTTTTAATTGTAATAAAATGCTTAGGTAGATTCCAAAATCAAGACTTGAAAATCTGCTAAACCCAAAATTTTAAAAAGAAAAATCCTCATCTTTATTGCGGTCTTAAATATTTCAGGGCTACCTTCTGCAACTATCTGTTCTTTATTACAGGCGCATAGGCATACGCAAATAGTTTCATAATCACAGAATTGGGTCTGGCAAAGAAAGTGTACAAAAGAGAACCTAAGAGGGACTCAGCATAGTAGAAGCAGAGCAGCACCGCACAACCACTTGCTAAGGAACAGCAATGCTAATGAACCAAGACAAACAGCCGCCAACGCACAGCCATGAAAATAGTAGCCGCCTCCATCTCCACACTTCTGTTCCTAGCCTATTACTGCTCCAGTGGTAACAGCTCAGAAAGTGGAGGAAGCTTGTATTTTTCTCTTTCCATAGGCAGAGTTACAGATAAAGAGTAATTCTGACTATTCAAAAGGAAAAAGGGATCTAATTGTTAGTCAGCATTCTTTACTCTGGAAATTCCTGGCTTTTGTCTGTTCATAGACATCAGGAAAAACGGGTCACAACATAAATGACCAGAAATCATGTTTTCTATTCTAGCTCCTGTAGTTATCCTTTTTCATCAAACATGATCCTGCAATATATTTTCATTATTGCTAAAATGCAAGTCTTTATACAGGAAATTCATAGAGTAAGAAAAAAAAATCACAAGCAACACATTAATCTTACCAAACCCCCCCATCAGGCAGTCTGCCGATTGTGCTTGCCACAAAGCGCAGCCTTCATTTGTGCAGTGCCAGAGCAAGCTCGGATCATGAGAACAAATCACAACCTCTCTTGGCTGTAAGCTCTGTCCATTTGTCCCAGCTTCCCAACTGCGGAGGGGCTGTGGCGTGGTCTCTGACTGCTGCACGTCCTCGGTGTCTGAGAATCACGCTGTGAATGAGGGCGGCCACCACTGGGAATGCGTTCTCCCACTTAACAGCCAGCCACACGAAGCTCCTCGTGGATCCCTGGCTTCTCACCTGCACAATCTCAGAGAAGTGCCCTTCACAGAACACGCAGGTACAGCCGCACCACATCAACATCCCCACATGGCCAAGCCTCCGCAGTGCCCACCTCAGCCTACGTGCAGTTCCGGTTCTGTCTCCTTCCTGCATCAACTCTTTCAGCTTTCTCCATCTGGGAGCCTGGGAGGACTCTGCTGAACAAACAGAAAGCTTCTGCCAAACAAGCATCCGTGTGTGTGTGTGTGTGTGTGTGTGTGCGCGCGCGCGCGGCTGTCTGCTAGAGCTGCTAATGCAAATGAATAGTTTGAGAATGGAGATCACAAACAGTATCTGCCTCTCTTCTCCAGCTGTGAGCATCTTTTATAAAAGACAAAAGCATCTAACTGGTTGGATTTAAAGCTACAGGACAGTAATTCAACATTTACATTTACCTTCTGATTTAAATCAGATTAAGCTGAGAGAACAGCATAAGAAGATAAAAAACATTCTAAACAATATTGTTTGGGTAACTTGATTTAGTATCACAAAGAAAAAACCTACTAAAGGCTTCCATGAAGGACCAGAAGATCACCAGAATAGAATTCCAGAGTGTCCTAATGTTTCTTCTCGTATTTTTCACTTCATTTCACTTCTCTTATTTCTAAGTTCATAAAATCAAGCCTGAGACGCTGGTCCTAGTTCGCTGAGGACAAGGAAGAAGATGCTTCTGAATGAAAAGCCCTGTGACTCTCTGAACTCTGAAGAGAAGACTGAAACTCCACCTTCGTGAGCCCAGGCTCAGCCCATGGATGGTCCCACTCTGCTTACTTACTGATCACAACACTGCATGAGATGACACTGCTCATGCCCTGAAGAAGTCACTTTGGTTTTTGGCAAGCTATCATATCTGAACTTTATCCCTTCATTTGTAAAAGCAGTTGTAGGGAATGCACATAAGAAGAATTCTAATGATTATAAAATACAGTGTAGCAGCTATAAAATACTAAATACTTCTCCAAGGTTAACATGTATGAAGTTATCAGACATGAAGACAATTCAGTATCATACAATACAGTCCTTTCTATGAGCCTGGAGCAGTGATAATTTCTGTACTTCTGGGCAGGCACCGGGGCTGAGATGTTCAGGCCTGCATAATACTGATTAAGTGAAAGCAGGTTTTTCTCATCGTCAGCATTCATCAGCTACAGGTAACATTCTTTAGGGCAGGTGAAGCATCGGGAATGGAATCCACAGCACATTGAATGGATGTGAAGAAAAATGTTGGGTTGAAAACCATGGCTCTAGAAATTTCTCTTCTACATGCAGAAGCACAGAACTTGACTTTCTAGAACAAATTAATAAATTTATGACACTAGAAGTTTCGTCATGGTTTCACTTAAGTATTTGTTTACTCAAATCCTGTACTGCTAGCATCAACACTAGTTTCTGTTTGCTTAATTGTGTTTATTTGCATTTTCAGTATCTTGTTTTTCTCATACAGGGAAACTTTACTCAGTCACAAAGAGGAACGGCACTGACACATGCTACAATGTGAATAAATCTTGAAAACATTATGCTGAATGAAAAAATCCAGACACAAAAGGCCACACATCTATACAAAATGTCCTGAGTAGACATTTACTGAGACAGAAGACACATTGGGGCCTTCCAAGAGTTCAATGTATGGGGTAGGGTTGGAGAGTGAAATCTAAGGAGGGAGGGGTTTATTTGGGAGTAAGAAAATTGTTTTAACATTTACTGTAGTAATAGTTGTACAACTCCATGACTTCTAAGTAAGCAAATCCTATCTCAATAAAGATGCTAACAAATAATAAAGGACAGAATCCAGACGTCTTCTTTAGACAGGGATTCACTGGTGCAACTGTGCTAAAACTCACTTCCAAATGGCGCATACTTTTTTTAAAAGATTTATTTATTTATTTGAAAGAGTTATACAGAGAGAAGGAGAGGCAGAGAGAGAGAAAGGTCTTCCATCCACTGCTTCATTCCCCAATTAGCTGCAACGGCTGGAGCTATGCAGATCCGAAGCCAGGAGACAGGAGCTTCTTGCTGGTCTCCCATGCAGTTGCAGGGGCCCAAGGACTCGGGATATCTTCTACTGCTTTCCCAGGCCATACCAGAGGGCTGGATCAGAAGTGGAGCAGCTGAGACTTGAACCGTGCCCATATGAGATGCCGGCACTGTATGCAGCAGCTTTCCCCATCACACCACAGCACCGGCCCCTGGTGCATAATGTTAAGCCTGTTCCTAGAATCAGAAGTCCTTTGTGTTCTTTCTTGGCCTTGGAATACAGGACTGGGCATGGGTGAGTTTCTGATATACAGTGTGGTTCTGCCGTGCGCTAAAAAAAGAGTCTGGATTTTCCGGTCTCATAAATAATAATCACACTGTTTTTAAAAAGTTCATAGTCTGCCTAGCACAGGATATTTTTATTCAGTTTTTGTCCATTTTACAATAGGAAACGTACTTCATACCTCACTGTCTCCATCTCCACATATAAATCTTTCCAAAGTGTAAGCTGAGTTTTCACGCTCACTTTGGTCTTCTTAGTAGCATTCTTTGCAGTTCTCTCAAGAAAGCAAGCCTGTCCGGCTTTGTGGTTGTTCAAGAGAGTAAAGATACACTACACAGTAGTGTTTGAAGACTCCAATATGCACATTGCCTGTAATTACATGTGGGCCCACTTATAAACTGTGATCAGTATCTTCTTTTAAAACAATTATGTTGTAAAACTTTGAAGGGCAAGTGGGCATAAAAGAAAGTAAAAGCAAAAATTATGTGTCACCTCACTACTCCTAGACCAAACAAATCACTGTTGTAAACCTATCTTTTTTATTATTATTATTATTTTTTAAAGATATGTATGGGGCTGGCACTGTGGTGTAGTGGGTACAGCTGCCACCTGCAGTGCTAGCATCCCATATGGGTGCTGGTTCGAGTCCCTGCTGCTCCACTTCCAATCCAGCTCTCTGCTACGGCCGGGGAAAGCAGTGGAAGATGGCCCAAGTGCTTGGACCTCTGCCACCCGCATTGAAGACCTGGATGAAGCTCCTGGCTCCTGGTTTTGGCCTTGCACAGCCTCAACCATTATGGCCATTTGGGGAGTGAATCAGCAGATGGAAGATCTGTCTCTTCCTCTAACTCTGCCTTTCAAATAAATAAAAAGTCTTTATTAAAAAAAGTTTCACTAAGATACTAATGAATACATCTGATAGAACCAATTTGCCTTAAAAGTGAGTCTAACTGGCCAGCGCCGCAGCTCACTAGGCTAATCCTCTGCCTGCGGTGCCGGCATTATGGGTTCTAGTCCCGGTTGGGGTGCCGGTTCTGTCCTGGTTGCTCCTCTTCCAGTCCTCTCTGCTGTGGCCTGGGAGGGCAGTGGAGGATGGCCCAAGTGCTTGGGCCCTGCACCTGCATGCGAGACCAGGAAGAAACCCCTGGCTCCTGGCTTCGGATTGGTGCAGCGCGCCAGCCGTAGCGGCCATTTGGGGGGTGAACCAGCAGAAGGAAGACCTTTCTCTCTGTTTCTCTCTCTCACTGTCTAACTCTGCCTGTAAAAAAAAAAAAAAAAAGTGAGTCTAACTAGCTACATTAGCCCGTTATATCTCCTCTCAGTTCCCAAAGTAAATCCCATCAGAACTGTAATTCTGAGGATTTCCTGGTCCTCTCAAATATTTTTTTTTTTTGCTTTACAGAGCTAAATAAGCAAAGAAAGTAATACTTTAAATATGCTAGAAAAAGGAAACAAAAAGAAATTCTCAAAGGAATTACAGGTTTAGAAACATTCTAAAAATTCAAACTCACACTCTTAAGGCAAATCAAGACCAGTGTTGTCAGAGTTAAAAATAATGCTGTGTACATTTTGAGTTTGTGTGAACAGTTAATCTGAACCTCCTAAATTTATAGTTCACTGGAAAAATAAGCTAATATTACTCTTCATATATAAAGCTTAATAACTTAAAAAATAAAACTCTTAGTTCACCTAAATTGATCAGAATGCTGATAACTTTTTATATCAATGGCATATGATCTCACTGTAATTTAGAATAAGATACTAATTTTTAAAAAAAGATTTATTTATTTATTTGAAAGGCAGAGTTAGAGAAGGAGAGAGAGAGATCGCTCTTCTACCTGCTGGTTCACTCCCCAAATGTTCACAATGGCCAGCCAGAAGCTTCTTCTGGGTCTCCCACATGGGTGGCTGGGGCCCAAAGAGTTGGGTCATCTTCCGCTGCTTTCCCAAATACATTAGCAGGGAGATGGATTGGAAGTGGAGCAGCCAGGACTTAAATGGGCACCCATTTGGGATGCCAGAACTGCAGGTGGAAGCTTAACCTGCTATGCCACAGCGCTGGCCCCTATAATCACACACTAATGTTAAACGGTGCAAGTTAATAAGTAATTCTTGGATGCTTGTATATGCTATCAGAGTGCTTACATATCTGGGTCATGTTAATAAATGGGTTGGTTTTTGCCACAGTAAAAAGGTATAAAACAGGGCAGGCATTAAGGTGCAATGGGTTAAGCCACCTCTTGGGATACCTTCAACCTGTATCAGAGTGCTGGTTCTAGTCCTGGCTCCTCTGCTTTCAATCCAGCTCCTGCTAATGTCCCTAAAAAAGGCAATGGATAATACCTAGATTCCTGCCACCCCCGTGGGAAACCGGGATGGAGTTGTAGGCACCTGACTTTGGCCTTGCTTCGCCCTGGATGTTGCAGCCATCTGTACTGAGTCAGTAGATGGAAGGTCATTTTCTCTCTGTGATACTTTCCTTTCAAATAAACAAAAGAGATATAAAAGTGTGTGGCTGTAGAAAGTATCATGTGTATTCATGAGCTTTACTAGTCTACTAACATGCACGTGCATGACAGATAATTCTTATTACCTGCTTCTTCCATGCAGTTCTCTATGAAACCTAAGTTCTGACTGACAGAGTTTGTTGGAACTATACTGGAGCAACAGTGGCAGAGAAATACAAGCTGTAAGTTCTCCCATTTTTCATGGAAATAAAAAATAAAAGCTTTTGGGGCCGGCACTGTGGTGTAGTGGGTTAACACCCTGGCTTGCAGTGCCGACATCCCATATGGGCACCAGTTCGAGTCCCGGCTGCTCCTCTTCCGATACAGCTCTCTGCTATGGCCTGAGAAAGCAGTAGAAGATGGCCCAAGTCCTTGGGCCCCTGCACCTTCCTGGCTTCGGATTGGCGCAGCCCCGGCCGTTGAGACCAATTGGGGAGTGAACCACTGGATGGAAGACCTCTCTCTCTCTCTCTCTCTCTGCCTCTTCTCTCTCTGTGTAACTCTTGACTTCCAAAAAAAAAAAAAAAATCTTTAAACAAAAACTTTTTTGTCCCATAGTGAAAGTTTCTTCCAGAATTTGAAAGAAAGACAAATCTTAGAAAGAGAAATTTGATTTAACTTAGGAAATACGATTATCTTTTCCATAATTTTTGGAGATAGAGTGATTTTCTGTTTAGAAAGAACAAGTTTTTTTTTTTTTTAAAGAAAGATTTTATTCATTTGAAAGGCAGAGTTACAGAGAGAGGGGGGGCTCTTTCATTCACTAGTTCATTTCCCAAATGGTCACAATGGCCAGGGCAGGGCCAGGCTGAAGCCAGAAGCCAGGAGCTTCATCTGGGTCTCCCACATGGGTGCAGGGGCACAGACTCTTGGGCCATATTCTGCTGCTTTCCCAGGTGCATTACCAGGGAGCTGGACTGGAAGTGGGACAAGCAGGAGAGACACTGGTGACCACATGGGATGCTGGTGTCACAGGTGGCAGAGTAACCACTTTGCCACAACGCAGGCCCCCAAGCTGGCTTCTTAATTACAGCACCAAATGCTTACCCTTCTTAAACTACTTCTAATTCCAGTTTTAACAGATCCTGCACCTGTCATCTGTATCAAATATTTAGTAACTGATTTCCACTGAATTCTCAGCATTCAGAAGTTTACCACTTGCACAGGATATCAAACACATCTTTTCAAATCAAGGTATTTTATAATCATATATATATGGAATATATACAAGAATGATACATGTGTGAAAGACTCTTGTTTCATCAGGTATGACTAACCAGTTTACAAAAAAATAGTAAGCTTTACACACAGAACTGACATGTACAAAAAAAAGATCTTTCCAGGAAAGCTGGCCTGATGCTTTGGTTAAGGGGCCCACCTCCTTATCTGAAACATGAAGGTACTTCACAAACTTCTTGGAAAAAAAAATAAAAACTTATCCATGAATTTCAAAATTCTTTTGCACCAAAATAAATATATCTTTTAATTACATTTTTCTTTGAATTTTTCAAAGTACCTGCATACTCTCCAGAGATATATCAAGAATATTTTATTTGATGACACAAAAGCTTTCCTTAAAAATAATTGAAAAGTCTGTGTTACTTTATTAAAAAAAAAACCTGTTCATTACTATTTTTCACTGAGTTTTTTGCAGATTGCTTATCACTGACAAGCTACTGAGTATACTCTCAGAAATAAAAGTGACCCCAAGTTCCATTAGAATCTAATAAATTTACACACTGTTGAATAAATATAATCTGGGTAGTAACACATAAAACATAAAGAAGTTCAGAATCTCGTTTTTTGAGAAAGCACTTTTTCTCAATAACACAATCTACTAATAGTCATCTTTACTGTGTTCAACAATGTTGAGTGTTGGGGGCTGCCAAAAATTTCATAGGGGAATAGATGTTATCCTTTCAACATTACCAGGAAAAAGACACCTTTTAAAAATTATTTTATTATGCAACATTTCAAAATATATTAAGTGCATGGCCAACACAATCCTCCTGTCCCACATGAGTTGGAAGGAAGTTCCAGACAAAACATGTTTCTTTTAAAAGCCAAGGATACTCCCAGAGGCTTTCCTATATATTCTTATGAAAACCTATCAGCTGTCAGATGTCATCAATACCATTTCATTCTTCAGACAAAAGGCCTCTGTCCTCCTCCTTTCTCTTCACCCTTTACTGTATTTTATTTATGAAGCAGCCAATGGGAAAACTGCTAAAGGGCCCCAAGAATACTCTGTTTGATAAGACCTATATTTTCTTGATGTTGATGTCTGATTACTACTGGGATAAGTTTTTTTCCAAAATGGCAAAAGAAAGGAAGAGAAAAATTGAGTCAAAGGAAGAAATAACATGATAAATCAGTATCTGCAGTCACTCACTTGAGAAGATTTTTGAGGGTGGGTTAAGGATAAAGCGGGAGATCAGTTGGCTGTGTGTTCCTCAAGGAGTCTCGTGTCCAGCTCTCCCCTATCTGGCAACCAGTTCAAACAGAAAGTTCCTAACTGCACTGACCTCTCACTGGGATTCAATAATGATAGGTTTTATGTGACTCCAGCCACTCTATTTAAGTAAAAGGGAACACCCCTAAACACTCAGTAGGTGGGGAAGCAAAAAATGTCAAAGCAAAGGAACTGGAATAGAGTTTAAAATCTTTTGAGATTACGATGGTCATATGAACATCCAAATAAAGCAAGTAGTTTCTTTTACTGCTTAGAACCAATGAGTTTACAAAGCAGGGCAACAAAGACTTCTGCTTAGTGCCAGAATAATCGGGTTTCAAGAAAGAATAAAGGCATTGACACAAGCTATTACCTGTTTTGCCATCCAAGATACTTAACTGAAGAAATTCGATCAGTAACTAAGATTGCTTATTTACTTCAAAGGGATCAAGTGCCACAGTGTCATATACTTCTGCCCTAGTCTGTAATTTATAAAGAATACAGGTTTATTTAGCTCACAGTTCTGGAGCGTGGGAAGTCTGAGAACATGATGCTGGCATCTGCACATTATCTGATGAGGGCGTTCATGCTCAATCATAACATGATGCAGACATCACAAGGCAAGATTCAGCAAGAGTGCTAGCTGATCTCTCTTCTTTCTATAAAGCCATTAATGCCATCATGGGGACCCCATTCATACGACCTCATATAATCCTAATCAGCTCTCTAAGGCTCTTCCTCCAATACCATTAGAACTTGGGGGCACACTCAAATCAGAGCAACCACCTAAGGGACTCAACGATGCTACAGGAAGCTGTTTCACAATTGCAGGTGCCAGGAAACCCCGATGGTAACACCATTTCTCATTCAAGGATGGGCCAGCTAATTTCCAAATACTACTTGTAGGGCAACTGCAGAGGCATACAAAAGTTTACTTTATAAAATGAAATGCTATAACTAAATGCTATTTGTGATGTCATGAGACATAGTACAGAATAGTAGTTTCCAACTTGGGGCTCATAAAGGGTCAGTCGTTTCCAGAATTTCCAAAGGCTCAATAAGTACGTACTCTATGATAGAGTTGAAGAGGCAGAACAAAAGAATAAATCTTGGATGATTTTGTTTAGAATTATAATTACCTGATGTAGTACAACTGGACCATTGCTGTTCTACAATACTGACTGGTGGTTGGTCCTTAATCTGGGGGCGGGGGGACAGTATGTGTTGCAGGTAAAGAAACATTTTTGAAATAGCAGGCTCATGAGGAAAGTAAAAATAATACCCTTGGTAGGGATCAGCTTGATTTAAGTTTCATGTTCCAAATTAGGATACACCTTCAATGTTAAATAAAGAAAACTTAGAAATTTTAAACATACAAAAAACTCAAGCAGCATAATTCAGTGTTTACACTGTTGGAAAATTATTAGTAAAAGTAATATACAGATAACCTACATTGTTTTATTTACTTTTTATTTATTCATTTTTAAGGTTTATTTATTTATTTGAAAGGCAGAGTTAGAGAGAGAGAGAGAGGGAGGGAGGGAGGGAAGGAGGGAGGGAGGTCTTCCATCCACTGGTTGACTCCCCAAATGGCCACAACAGCTGGAGCTGGGCTGATCCGAAGCCAGGAGCTAGGAGCTTCTTTTCGGTCTTTCACAAAGGTGCAGAAGGCCAAGCACCTGGGCCATCTTCCACTGCTTTCCTAGGCCACAGCACAGAGCTAGATCGGAAGTGAAGCAGCTGGGATTCAAACCGGCGCCCAT